GAGCCACGTAGATCAAAACTGGAGACAATACCGTTGAGAGATCTCAGTTTTACTGGTTTTGTAAGTTGGAGGATGCGTTGTATCCGGTTTTGTGGTTTAAGGACGATTTTGTAATTCAGCTGACAAGACGAGGGATCTCTGGTGTACTTTTTCCTTTGCTTTCTGAACAAACATCCGGTTAGGGGCAGCCCACTTCTTAGTCTCGACGCAGCCCGGCCCATCAAACCATGGGCCCCACACGGCAGCAGCCCATCTCCCACCACACATATAACCCAGCGACGTGGCCTCCGCTCGCTCGCCTCCTCGCAGCTCAAAAACCCTAGCCGCCACTCCGCCATTTCGGTAAGGTTTGCTGCGACTCCGCCGCGACGCATCTTGCGCCGCCAGCCGCCGCCGCCGCGCGCCTCCTCCCCCGTCGACCTCGGCTGACGCGCGGCGCCCTCGAGCTCGCGTCGCGTCGCGTCGTGTCCCTCTCGGTGAGCTGCTGCATCCTGGCGCTTTCTCTCGTTGCTCTGTGGGGGAGAAAAACCCCGTGGTTTCTGGTGATCTCTGCTTGGTTAGCTAGCGTTCGTTTTGGATGGCGATCTTTAGTTGGTTAGATGCTGTTTGGGGTTGTGATCTCTGCTTGTTTAACTGTTGGGTTGGGTGTGGTGATCTCTTCTAGTTGGTTGTGATTCCCTGTTTGTTTAGTTGATATTGGGGTGTTTTGGTCTCAGCTTTTTGTGTTGCTGCTTCGGATGGCGGTTTTCCCTAAATTCCTGTGTGGGTGTGAACTTGGATGTTGCATCCATGAACTGCTGTTGTTATCCTTATGCTGATTTTTGGGTGTTTGGTTGGTGGAAGTTGATGTTTTTTTATGGGTGGAGGAGAGGAGGAAGTTGATTGCTGGATGGGAACTTACAGGATGGTGATTTCTCTGGTGGGTGCGGATGTGAGTTTGAGTGAGATGTGAAAACTAGGAACACAATATCATCTTTAAGATTGGAAGAAAAAATTGAGAAGAGGAGTCGCATGACTCAAGCCAAACAGTAGGAAGAAACTACAAATCACGCAACACATGAGAAAATAGAAAACTTAAAGCCCAATAGCCCAAAGTGGGGCTAAAGCCGTAGCAATCAAATACCATGCCTTCCCTAACTCAGAGCGCCGCATGTCCTCCTTTATTTGTTCTTGTTCTCCTGCTGTACAGGAAAAGCATTGACCCCTTCACCATTCAGTACTTACTACTTGGGGTGTTGCGCAAATCAGTCAGCCATCTGGTGGACATGCATATGCACAAAGAACACAATTTTATGGAAAAGATCCCGCAAGGAGTAAAAAAAATGTTTTAACTTTTCATTTGTCTTGCAGTTGATGGAGGCTCCGGCAAATAGCGTGGCAGTGGCTGATGGGAACCCAAAGACAGCGACAGAGACTCCGCGGGTGGAGGATTACAAGGACGCTGCCATGTACTATGGAACGTACCCGGCTTATCTCTATGGAGGTGATGCATTGCTGAGTTTTTTCATTGTTCTGTTCATACCGTTGTAGTTATATGTTTTGCAAAACTGCTAGGTCAAAGTTTTGAATGATCTGTGTTTGTGTAAATGTAGCCTATGGTGGCTGGGGGGAGTACTCCACATACCTGAGCCATGATGGTGCAGAGACACCAACTGCTGTGAGTTTTCCTTACTGTGCTTCACCTCCATCAGTAAATACTTTTATCCTATTCTGATACATTGTTCAGGATGTGATATAAATACTGATGGTTTCCATACGCGTTGGAGTTGATCCATTTTGTGAATGATAATGTTCTATTGCTTATTTCAGGGTGCTTATGGGGATATGTACTATGGCTATTCTCCATATGGTTATTCAACTTCAGGACATGATAGTCAGATGTATGGATCTCAGCATTACCAGTACCAACCGACATACAACAAACAACAGAATACCACTGGCAAGCCTTCCAACAATGGAAAAACTGAAAATCCGGCTGCACTGCCCCAAGGGGATGTCTCTGCTAATGGTGTTGATAGTCTGAAAGGTCAGAAAAAGACGAATCTGCTCCCGAAGGCAAGCCAGAATACACCAGGTTCCAACGGTTCCTATGGCCGACCTAGTGGGCGTTTTGGTAACTACCAGAACCAAACTAACCGAACAACTTATCCATGCTACAGTAGTCAAATCTTCAATGGCAAGCAGCAAAAACTTCCCACTGGCAATCGTTCTCTGACAACTTCCAATTCTAAAAGCAAGGGACAGTCAAGGAATCAGAACACATATCCTCATCTCATGGTGAGTTTTACTGTCCTTAATGTTTAATGGATATATTTTAGTTCAATTACTTGAGTCATTTTTTGTTGATGTTGCATATCTTGTTTTTTTGGTTCAAATGCTTGCTCACCACAATCTGTCTATTTGTAGCATTATTTGGTAGCCATGTCTCTTATTTTCTAAAAAGTATGTTTTTGTTTTATGGCGAATGTTTGCATTGATCTGTTATTTAGCATCATATTATAGCGGGACATTGTGTTATTACTTATTTCCATTGTTTACTGTTTGGCTTGTCCCCTATTATTAAGATAACCCAGATACTTACAGGGTTAGGATTTGCTTATCTAACTTTTGGAGTATCTCTTTTAGGGTCTGCAGACACCTACTTCTCCGTTGGGACCACCATCAATTTACTCGGCTAGTGGAATGTATGGATACAATGGGAGTTCATATGGGTCCGGCCTATGGTATGGATCACACCTGTATGGTTCTGGATTGTACGGGGGATGGAATGCACTGTCGGATGGCAAATACAATCCCAGAGGAAGAGGTAATGGATCCTATGGTTATATCCATGGAAATCAGGATGGGTTTAATGAGCTAAGAAGAGGGCCAAGAAGTGGTCTTTTCAATAACCAACAGGGAGTTGGAGCTACTGTTGCACCTGTGAAGGGACAAGAGCTTTCAGCCAGCGATAGCTCGCTTTCTGTCATGAAGGATCAGTATAACCGGGCTGATTTTGTGGAAACATACTCAGATGCTAAATTCTTCATCATCAAATCATACAGTGAGGATGATGTTCACAAGAGCATTAAGTACAATGTTTGGGCTAGCACATCCAATGGTAATAAAAAGCTTGATGCTGCTTATCAGGAGGCTAAGGAAAAATCAAGTGATTCTTCTGTGTTCCTTCTTTTCTCTGTAAGTTTTATCAGTTCATTTGTGTTTTCTTACAGTAGGTCATGATGATTTTCCCTGTTTCTTATGCTGGCTGTTTATTTTCATTTCCCAGGTGAATGCAAGTGGTCAGTTTGTTGGTCTTGCTGAGATGGTGGGCCGTGTTGATTTTAACAAGACATTGGAACACTGGCAACAGGACAAGTGGACTGGCTGTTTCCCTGTAAAGTGGCATATTGTGAAGGATGTTCCAAACAGCTTACTGAAACACATCATTCTTGAAAACAATGAGAACAAACCAGTCACAAATTGCAGAGATACTCATGAGGTATTATTTTTGTTTCTAACCCAGTCTTTTGTTCGTTGGCCCTTAGGGCTTCTAATGGTATGGCAAATTGGTACTCCATTTTGCCGTGAATTATTGGAACAAAAATGCTTAATAAGGATTTTTGCACCTTTTGTGGCGGCCACAGGTGAAACTTGAGCCAGGGCTTCAAGTGCTTAAGATTTTCAAGGACCATGTCTGCAAGACGTCGTTACTGGATGACTTTGATTTCTATGATAATCGTGAGAAGATGATGCAAGAGAGGAAGGCAAAGCATCAACAACTGAAGAAGGTATGGAACTTGGCTCTTGCATTTGTTTTCTGCTATTCTGTTGTGGTGTTTAAACATAGTGCTGATTGTTTTTGTATGGCCATACATTGCATGTTTATTTGTGATATAAGTCTATGGCATATAAAATGCTTCCACTATTTGCAGTGAGTAATAGAGCATGCAGCTAGAGTTTTTCTCTCCTTCCAGGACGGGAATGAAAATGTTAAATTACTTATTTGTGATTTTTGTGGTAGTCTAATTTACCAAATTTGTTAAGACCATGTTTAATAGTTAAGCCATCTCTTATATGAAAGCCTTTGATTAGCTCTCGGCTTTCTTGAGCACTTATCACAGGTGCTATATGTTTGTGCTGTAGGTCGTTGATGAGAAGCTGCTTAATGCTGTGGACACTGAGAACAGCTTGTTAACTGTGAAATCCAAATTGCAGGAAACAGCTGAGGTAGAGATTGATGTCTTAAACAAAGAGCCTCATGGTAAAGCAGGACAAGTTGATGGGAAAGAGAACGGTGTGTTGGCCGTTTCTGTAAATGGTGTTACCCCAGAAGATGTTCAGTTGACAAACGAGAAGTTGGCCAGTTTGAGCGTCTGTTAAGTTTTTTCTCATCATTTCAGCCATTGAGGGGTGGTGTAAGGTGAAGGGCTATATAGGTTGGGAAGGCAGCAATCAAGGCAATTCAAGATCCATTTGAGTTTCCTTGTGAGTTTCTCCGTTGCTTTTGGTTAGGACTTGGAGGTGGTTTCATAGGAGAGCTAGAAGTTTAGCTGATTGTGTCTGGTGAGATGTGCGGATAGCAGTAGAGGTTTTTTGGACTTTTGGTTTTCAATGATGGATCATTGGTTTGCGCAGTTCCTTTTCTTTTATATTCTGTTCTCTTTTGCGTTGGGCAGGTGTAGCTTTTTTTAGTATGTTTGGTGTCTGAACCTGAAAGCATGTCAAGAGTGTTTAAACCTGGGAATTCAATTAAGAAATTTACTCTTTTGTTCCAATGCTTATTTTCTGATATTGCTTTGATAGAAAGTTGTGAATTGTAATGCAGCGTGATGTATATGTACCTATATTCCTTTTTATGTCTTGCTAACAAGGGGTATTATTAAGTTGTGCATTGTGAATTTGTGATGCAGCCAAAAGGCTTGGTTCAAAGCTGTGAAGTGTCTGTGTTCTTGGGTCAGTTTCTTGGACTCAATTGGGAGAAAAATGTTCCTGACAAGTTCGATTGTTCTGATCGTTTCTTTCAGAAGCTTGTTGTCCAACCATTTGTACTATAGTCAGAATCTTGTTTTATTTTACTGAGTCAGGCATGTACAGAGTTTCTGATGCGCACAGGTGAATCTTGGGCTGAAGAATAGCCTAGTTAATATATATACATTGACAGATGGCCACTAATTTCTGGAGCTGGTGTTCATGGAGATGGCCTGGCCAAGTATTGCAGCCATTCTTCAGGCAACCCTTGGCTCCTCTTGAGCGTCCTGAATGCAGCTTTTGTCAAGGGTACTGCAAGAATGTCAAATTCCTTTGGCGCCTGCAGTGCGATTCAGAGAAGATTATTGCTCACATTTTGACAGCCGAATTGCTTCAGAATTCACACTGCTGCAGTGATCAAGAACAGGCAAGAACATGACTCACCTTGGGGACCTTGAGTAGCTTCATGTTTGCTTGCTCCACTGTCTTCTGGCCCTTCCTGGAGTTGCATCTTGAGCATGCAGTCACCTAGGCAGTTCAAAAGATTAGCAAAACACCAATTAAGCTGCCTTTTTTTGTTGTTGTTCGAGTGAACATTGTTTATTCTGGTGATCAACTGATAACTTGTTCATTAGCACAAGGAGAGTATAGAAATATTTAGGATTCAGACCAGATTTTCCCATTCCCATTTTCCGCCACGTGCAGTCGGAATGACATGATCAATCGTTAGGTTATCAACAGAAGAACAATACCTGCAGATGGTATAATCACTAATCAGCTGGTTCGTGAATGAAATTTTTAAAAAAGTTTCTGAAAATTGAGTGAGATGCCAAGGGAAAACTGTAGGCTAAAAAAACGTATGATCAGAACTTTGCTTGCCTTCACACAAGTGGAAATCAAACTTATTGTAACAATGCAATGCAATACAATACTTACTGGCAAGTAAATCCATCCCTGTAAAGAATGTTTTTACGGCTAAGGCTGTGCTTAACTCTTCTTCGCTTTACAACCTGCAGCAGCTCTGGAACCTGAACAAGAGGCAACAGCAGCAAATTAAAGTACTAATGGCATGAGATTATTATTTTTGTTCAAGAATACATATGCAGAAGAATTGTGAACTTTGCATTGAATTTAGAAACAAATTCATAACATCATAAGGATACATCTTGTGGTGTTTCACATACATACCCTGAGAACTGCAGGGATGTAGAATGATCCACTGGGTGAGGAGACAGTCTGGTCATAGTACTCCAATACATCGGCCTGCAGAGCTAAAAAGTTCATCATATTAACCATGTATTATTGACAATACTAATCATAGAAGTTGATTAGATCAAGGTTCAAATTATGAACTTTGAATAACTGATGGTGAAGATAAAAATGATTTTGGAAGCAGAGAAGCTAACCTTCGCCATGAATTCCAAGCAAATTGCACGCTTCCAGCAGACAACGTTCACAGGCCTGGTTAATATTTCGAGATAAAAAAAATGCAAAATTCCTTCAAATTGTTTTTATCTCTTTCTAACACAATCACTTCAAAATTTGTTCTATCATTCATAAACAAAATAGTTTGCAACTTTGGATGATATCGTCGGATCAAGTTGAGGTCACCTATAAGAGAGATCAAGAACCAGGCCCCTGAACCCGGACAGATCGTCGCCGTCGATCGCCGCCTCGTCGTCCTCCCCGTCGACGAACACCACGGCCTCCGCCGCCTCATCCTTCCCCGCGCGCTCGTCGTCCTTGGTCGCGCTCCGCCCGCCGCCGCCGGACCGGTTCTTGCCGCGCGCCCGCGCCGGCCACGGCGCCGACGGCGGCGCCACGAGCCGCCCCCCGCCGCCGCCGCCATTGCTCCACAGCCCGGACACCCCGCTCCTCCGGCCGCCGCCGAGCGTGCCACGCACGACGACGTCGCGGCGGAACGCGAGCGGCGCAGCCACCTTGCCGGCCATCCTCTCCGACGATCGACGCGCGCTCGATCAGATCAATGCTCGTCGGAGGAGGAGATGCTGCTTTTCGCGCGTGATCTTTCACGAGCTGGAGTGAGTGATCTTTTCTTGTAGTTTTGTAGAGGTTGGAAGGTGGAAGAGAGTTGCTTGGAGGAGTGTAGGAGATCGAGGTAGAAGCCTCAGAGCCACTGGTTCCTTGGTCACTTGGACTGCATGGAGGAAATATCTCTCTCTCTCCTGAATTTTACTTATTTTTTTAGTCTTCAGAAAATAAATTCTGACTAACTTTCTTCCTTTTTTTCTCCTTTCTTCCTTTTTTTTTTCTCTCTAGAGGGAAAGACGAATCTGGTTTTTCAAGAGGGGTGGTTTGGTTATGAAAAGTCAGCATGTAGTAAAATTTGAGCATGACCCATTTGCGAAATCAATAGATATGTAGTTTTTTTAACTGCTAAATTTGTATTATTTTAGGAGGAGACCGGATCATATACCCTACGTTTAGTTTGAAAGTTGAGGATTTATCCTTCTGTGCCAATCACATGTGGGGTTCATCTAAGGCTATGTTCTCAATTGTATTTTTCCCCGATCCATACTCCTTATTTTTCGCGTGCATATTTTTCAATTGATAAATGGTACTTTTTTTATGAAAATTTCTATAGGAAAGTGAATCTAAAAAATCATGTTAGTCCATTTTTTAAAGTTTTTTTAAAGCTAATATTTAATCATATGTTAATGGATAGTTATGTTTTGTGTGTTTAGGTTGTGTTTTTTTTTGTTTTGTAATTTTCTAACTTTAATCTCTCGTTTTTCGCGCGTACACTTTCCTAACCACTAACATGTATTTTCTAAAAAAATATATAGGAAAGTTGTCTTTTTAAGGTTTTTTAAGTTAATATTTACTTAATCATGCGCAAAATTACTGTTTCGTTTTGCGTGCTGTGGAACGGGGAGGGGTTCCAACCCCGCAATCGAACACGCCTAAGTTCACAGCCGTTTGGGCCACGAGGATAAAATCCTTAATTTCAATCTAGCAAATTTTACTATTTAGGCGGATATTAACTTGCCTTCCATGTAGATAACTTGTGGCTACTCAACGAGGCTTTGAGCACTAAAATTAACGAGGAAAATGAAACTTAAAAATATTAATGATACTCTGTAATGTAAAATGCATGTACCTTTTCAAACTAAAAAAATATGAGAAGGCAAAAAGTCTTGAATTCAAGTGCTATGGCCGAGGTATATGTTGCTATCTTGCGAGGAATCTACTACTCCAAGACTGCATATACCCAAATGAATCAAGAACCATCCAATCATGGTCCACACTCCACAGGATCCAAAATGCAAATAGAAAAATAAACAACAATAATTTTATAGAACAAGAAGAGACAGAAACGTGAATCACAAGACACCTACTCCTCCGTTTCAGCTTATAAGACGTTTTAACTATAGTTAAAGCTAAACTACTTTAAGTTTGACTAAGTTTGTAATAATATTTTCAACCCAAGACAAATTTATTATGAAAATATATTCAATTATTGATTTGATGAAACTGTTTAGTATTATAAGTATTACTATATCGATTTATAATCGATTTATAAACTTAGTCAAACTTGAAATAGTTTAATTTTAGCCAAAGTCGAAATGTCTTCTAACCTAAAACGAAGGGAGTAGAACATTTCACATTTGTCCAGCCATTTTCCATGTGAATAAAAAAAGTACAAACAAATGAAAACAACAACGTTATCGGGTCCATGCATCCACTTTATCTGCTAACCCGACCCGGTATGCGACAATGGCCAATGGCTGGCGCGACCGCGCCGCGAGAGGTGTTAACGGGTCTCGGATCCTCCACGCTTCCCGGATATGGAGTCCGGCACGGCTCTCTCACACACGTGTTAACCCCTCGTGTTCTTATCACTAATCTCTCCACGTCACTCCCAGCTGAGCAGCGTGAGCCCGTGACGAGAATTTCTCCACCTACTTCGAGCTGAGCCTGATCGATTCGCGAGATTTCCGTTCATGGCGGCGAAGTCTTTGAGGGAGATCAGGAGAGCGGCGGCGGCGGGGATTGGGAGTAGGAGATGCTTCTCCGGCGACGCGGCGGCGGCGGCGGCGGCGGCGGCGGGGGTGGCGGAGGGGAAGGTGGGAGGAGGAGCGGGGAAGGAGGTGAACCTGTTCACGGCCATCAACCAGGCGCTCCACATCGCCCTCGACACCGACCCGCGGTGAGCCGCCCTGTCAGTTTGTTCAGAAATCAGAATGGATGGTGTTTGTGGTTCAGTTCTTCAGTTTCAGTCTCTGTTCAGTTCTTGCTCCACTTTTTCTTTCATAGAAGAGAGGCCCTCTCCCATTTCTATTAAAGAAACGGATATGTTCTAGTTCTTGCTCCACTTAGCTGTCTGATTGATGTTCTAAGGCTTGATAATTGGTAGGGATTCTGAGTGATGTGACTGCATGTTGGGAATTCAGAGTTCAGATATGTAGGATAAGGGTGCAGGGTTGTTTTGTGCCATGTAACATAGGATAAGTTGTCAATGCTAAATTTTGGTCCCTGAGATGAAATAAGGAATGTTGCATTACTGGTTCTTGTGCGTTTCAGAAGCTAATACGCTAGTGTAAGAGACATGATATACAATGAAAAATATCTGATCCTTGCACCTAAATTAATTTTCGAAATTCCATTTCATTTGAGACAGCGGAATATGCATGCAGTATGATCAAATAAAGATAAGTTTTCATATTATAGCTCTTATGTCTTCGGGGAAGATGTGGGTTTCGGTGGTGTCTTCCGCTGCACAACAGGGCTCGCTGATCGGTTTGGCAGGAATAGAGTTTTCAATACGCCGTTGTGTGAACAGGTGAGTCTCTGCTGAGCTTCTTGCTGAAACTTTTGTTACAATAGGAGGTGTACCATATGAATTTTCAGGATTGTCAGTTTGCTATGCTTGGCACTAGTTTTGTTATATCATTGGTTCATCATCACTTTACCTGACTCTTCTTAACAGGGAATTGCTGGATTTGCCGTTGGTCTAGCAGCAATGGTGAGCAAGCGACAAAATTGAATTGTACAACGCTTCTTATTATTCTTTATTGTCAATTACCAGTTTTGGGATGGAAAAGAATAAAAATATAACCGCCAAATAATATCTAGTAGTATTTTTTTTTCTGATTTTCTTCATCATGCAGGGTAATAGAGCTATTGCTGAGATCCAGTTCGCAGATTATATCTTTCCAGCTTTTGATCAGGCATGCCTCCGGTTTTATTGAAAATTCTCTTTACCTATATAGTGCTTCATGTCTCTAAAAATGCGTTATTTCTTTACTCCCATAGTGCTAACAATATGAAGGAACTTATGAAATATTCGTTTTGTTGTATGGCACTACCACATGCTATTGCTTCACTTAGCAGGAAGTGCTTCGATTCTTTAAATCCATTTATTGTCACAGTTTTAATTCTTAAAAAAATCTGCAACTGGCACAGTACATTTCAATCTATTTTGTTTCCATGGTGACTGCATTTGTATAGCCTTGATCAATGTTTTGTGCCAACATACTTATACATACAACTACTGGTACAGATTGTTAATGAAGCAGCTAAATTTAGATACCGGAGTGGAAATGAATTTAACTGTGGAGGTTGGTTTGTCAAACATCTGAGCATTCAATATTCTGTAGTCTGTGAAGAAATTTTCATGATTGTATCCATGTTTTGTAGGATTAACGATTCGATCACCTTATGGCGCTGTCGGTCATGGTGGTCACTACCATTCACAGTCACCAGAGGCTTTCTTTTGTCATGTTCCTGGACTCAAGGTTAAGTTTGTGCCTTCAGCGTACTTTCTTCATGACCCTCCATCCTTTCACAGTAAAATATCAAATTAACTTGTTCAAGAAGAGACCTAATTGGTATTGTACCGAACATTTATACACTCTAGCTGCAAGGCATGCATATTGCAATTAAAAGTTGAACTGGTACTCTGAAAGGTAAATTGCTTCCAGTGCAGCCCGCTCCTTGATTTGATCTCAGGACCAACTAGCTTGTTTGGGTTGGGTAGTTCAAATGGTTTACATAGGAATTTATGGTTATTTTCCTGCAAACTAATGAAAGACAAATTTCAGGTAATCATACCTCGAAGTCCACGTGAAGCCAAGGGATTGTTGTTGGCAAGCATTAGAGACCCAAATCCAGTCGTATTTTTTGAGCCAAAGGTACAGGAAAAAAAATTCAAAAAAGATCCTCAATGGATAAAGATTTGCTAGAATAATCACACGACGGAGTGAGAATCGCTCCTGTAAAGTACTGAAACATTACTTAAAAAAAAATGATCAAGTCTTTTACAACAAGTTCCACTCTTTCTGTAGTGGTTGTACCGTTTGGCTGTTGAAGAAGTTCCAGAGGAGGATTATATGCTGCCCTTGTCTGAGGCAGAGGTGAGCACATCTTTCTTCAATTATCATTATGGTCATGGAGAAACCATACTGCATATATATTGATTTACATGCTTGTAGGTGATTCGTAAAGGAAGTGATATAACACTAATTGGTTGGGGAGCTCAACTTGCAGTACTGGAAGAAGCATGCGAAGATGCAGCAAAGGTCAGCTAACATGCAATCTTAAATGCAAGATTAAGTTTATGCTGCCAAAGTGGAATGTATGTCATGCTACATTGTTATAGGTTCAATGAAATCCAAACATAACTGAATATCCTTCTCTAGTTTATATCAGAATTTGAAGGGTAGTTTGTTAAACTACATGATTATATACAGTGGCGGAGCCAGCGTGGGGGCGCGGACTCCATGGACATGTGAGGGAGGAGAGGGGGAAAAGAGGGAGAGGAAGAAGAAAATCCGGGGGCCGGGGGGGGGGGGGGGGGGGGCTCTGATTATATATGAAGCGCATTCTGTGGGTAATGGTAGAAAGCACAGGAGGATTAGATGTTTAGAATTCATTTACCCATCATACTCAACAAATAATCTACATGTTGACTACAACTGATCATCCTGAAATTATGATAATTGCAAAGAGTAGTTATTGTTGTTCATACCATTCACAATTCAGGAACAAGCAAAGAAACTTCAAATCGTACTCGTTTGTTTTTTTATATAAAATCTATTGCTGACATAAATTTATGATAGGATGGAATATCTTGTGAGCTCATAGATCTAAGAACACTGATTCCATGGGACAAAGAAACAGTAGAGGCCTCTGTCAGCAAGACAGGAAAACTTCTTGTAAGTAGCGCTTTGCGCTTGCTTTTTGTTCCATCATCGCTATCAATTCATATCTGAAACCTGAAATACTATCCCAGGTTAGCCATGAGGCTCCAATCACCGGAGGGTTTGGTGCAGAAATTGCCGCATCCATCACCGAGCGCTGCTTCCAAAGGGTACCTGATCTTCCCAACTCTCTGAACCACAAAAACCAATTCTTGGTTACATCATAATCTTGAATCTCATGTGGCCATATTCCTTAATTGTTTTGTTCCAGTTAGAAGCGCCCGTCGCAAGAGTATGCGGCCTGGACACTCCTTTCCCTCTTGTTTATGAAACATTTTACATGCCCACAAAGAACAAGGTAATGGTGAATGAATGGCCTAATCATCGATCTTTGAGTGCATTATGATTGGTTTGCAGCTCTGATACAAATCTTTCACAGGTCCTGGACGCTATCAAAGCAACTGTAAATTACTGAGGTGCTGGAGCAAGCTACCTATGCGTTGTTCCTTGACAGTATAGACAAAAATTATGTGCACCTTATTGCTGGTTGTAGCCTGAATATGCATCTCCATAAAAGCATTGTATTTGATAATATAGAATTATAGATCAATAAAGCCGTGAAGATGCGAATTATTGTTCTGCGGTTACCATGTTCCTATCTTGACATATCCTTGAGTAGAAATACAGAACCAATCTGAACATTGTGGATCTGGGGACCGAAATTCCAATTTCGATCAAATTCTGAAATTTTGAAAAAAAACCATAGAATTTGAACAAATTTCCACTGAATGGGCATAAATAAAATGTTCACAAAAGATTTTTTTTTTGCTGAAAGAACATCCAGGAACACGAAACACCGCCCTCGCATGAATCATGATCCTCTGCAATCGACTGCACTACACTGAGCCTGTCACTGACATGTGGGCTCGGAGATCATTGGACCCACATGTCAGTGATAAAGGTACTGTGCAGTGACTGCAGGGCCGGCCCTAGGCCAGTGCGAACAATGCGACCACACCGGGCCTTCAAAAATTAGGGGCCTCCAAAATTGGGAGTGGATTCTAATCCCTCAAGGGAATATCCCCTCGTATATATTTTTCTTCCAAATTCGATGCAAATAGTTATGAAAAATTCTGAAAAAAAATTGACAATGTAGAGTATAATGATACCTACTAGTCCACCGAAATTCAAGTTCAAATTCGATCTACACATCGAGAAACAAAAAAAAAAGACAAATTTAGATATAAACAGTACGTTACTATTCATACGCTGAATTTGTCTTTTTATATCTCGACTTGTGAGTTGAGTTTGGACTTAATATTTTTGTTTGGAGTTGTATATATGTGTTGTATGAATGTTGTCAAATTTTTCCAGAATTTTCATAACTGTTTAAATGGTTTTTAAGTAAACGAGGGAACATCACCTCGAGGGATTAGAATAGTTTCCCTCCAAAATATGTATACTATGGTACCAAGCCTGATAGGCTACTTTGTGCATTGAGAAGAGGCTGCTGGATGAGATGTTATTGACACTATTATCATTGATTTTGCATCTAGAACTGTTAGAAGAAATTGTTTTAAATGATCTAGAGATATTTCTTTTTGGTATTTTAAACTTATTAGTGTGAAATTCATTAATGACAACGAGTTTTTAAATATTATCTTGTATTTCTATGGTGAATGGAGCCTTCAATTTTTTTTCCGCACCGGACCACCAAAAAAGTCAGGGCCCCTCCACAAGCTAACAATTGCCGCGGCTCGACGGCGCAGCCGCTCGCCAGGAGCGTGGCCATCGTGACCGACGCGTCGCGCGGCATCGCGATCCACCTCACCGATCGAGCTCGGCGCCAGCCTCGTCCTCGGCTACACGGCGCGTCCAGGGCTGCGGAGGCCGGCGTGCTCGCTCGCCGCGCCGTGGCCGTCAAGGCTGACATCGCCCTCGCCGTAACGAACGCCGGCGTGGTCCACGAGAAGAGCCCCACCCTGGCGGGAGGACACCGCCGCGGCGGACTTCGACCGCACCTTCTCCGTGAACACGCGCGGCGCCGGCGCGATCCTGTGCATCCGCGACATCGCGCCGGCGGTCGGGTTCCTCCGCATCGACGCCGCCGAGTGGGTCACGTCGGCGAGGTCACCGGAGCCAACGGCGGTCGGCGGCGACGTCTGATGCTTCCCGCGGGTCGCGGCCGGCAATGCTCACGTCCTCGGCGATGGCGTCGCTGATGGCCGTGACGCGGGTGCTTGCCATGTGGGCCGGGCCGGAAACTGCCACGTACGAGATGAGTGGGCCGTAGCCGTAGGCCGTAAGGCGTTGCTGTGCAGTGTCCTGGACATTGTATAAATTCGTAAATGTGCTTTACTAATTCGGATCAAAATTCAAAGTAGTGGCATCATTTGTTTCAAAAAAAAACAAAGTAGTGGCATCATCAAATGGACATGAACATTGCATATAAGTTTAGGGCCTGAAAAGAAAGGGATACAGCGAGTGGCAAAGGGAGTGTATTTGTGTAATCTCAAAAGAATAGGGTTAGAAATGATTTGGATCTTTATGAACATTTTAGCGAAGTTATAAGAGCAAGTTTAATACTACAGTCAACTACTAGCTCCAATTTATTTGTAGCCAATTTTATAGCTCATTCATATAATAGTTACTTATAAACATATACTACATCATTAATATATGGTCTCACCTCCTATGCACACAACGTATTAAAGTCTGTGTTGCAGTTGGCTATAAATCAGTAGCCCGCTTTCATTCTCTCTCTCCTCTTCTCTCCTCCATATGGGCATATAGCTAACTTATAGCATGCTATTGTACTCGCTCTAAAATCACCCCTCGTGCAATGATTTGAAATCTGGGACAATTTGGCCTCACGTCATAGTGAAATCTTTCTACGCCTTCTCCTCTATGTTCCCAATACGGAGAGTGCGCGCGGAAAACGGAGCGATATATTAGCGCGTAATTAATTAAGTATTATTTTTTTTTAAAAAAAAAGATAATATGATTTTTAAGGAACTTTCGTATATAAACTTTTTTAAAAAAACATATTGTTTAACAGTTTGAAAAAAGTGCGCGTAGAAAACGAGACGAGGAGCTGGAACCAGCAGTTCCGAATACAGTATGTGGCGATGCACATAATTATTTACCGGTTACTGAATCTAGTACTCCAGTGTTTATCTTTCTTGCTGTTGTTGAATCTGATACAGATAAGAATATTTGACCAAGCTTTTTGCTTCTTCTTTGCATTAAACTTCTAAATCACCTATTCACCCATATCTATACCTTAATCGATCCTTTCATGTGGAAGAATCGCCCCTTGATTGCATCGATGATGGCAGATATCTCGCGGCTTCTTGCATACCCTGCCCGTGGCCCGTGGGAGCAGCTTCATCGGAAGCTATTGTTGCCCAGCGTTGAGCTAGTGAAGGAATAGCCGCTGTTGAGCTTGTGAGTGGAGGGACATAGCTGTGTTCGGAAATCGGAATCATCTCTTCCCAACGTGTATGCGCACGGAAAACGAAGCAATTTATTAGGACGTGATTAATTAAGTATTAGCTAATTTTTTTCAAAAATGAATCAATATGATATTTTATACAACTTTTGTATAGAAACTTTTTGCAAAAAACATATCGTTTAGCAGTTTGAAACACGTGCGCACGGAATACGATAGAGAGGGGTTAGGAATATAGGGTTCCAAACACAGCCATAGTCGAGATCTCCTCCAAACGCAAGCGTCAAATACATCATCTTTTCGCTTATGCTTGTCAGCCAAAATTTGAACTTTTAACCTTAAATTTAAAACTGATTTTGAGGTTTTTCAATCGAAGTTTATTTTTTTAGCCTTTTCTTTTAAATAGCTAAGAACGTATATAAAAGTTATATTCACAAATCACTTTTCATTTGTAAATATACTGTTTCGATGGGGTTAGTAACAGAAACAGTGACCACCCGAGGTAAGATAAGCGGTCGTTGGACAAGTAAGGTAGTGGTGAACGCCGCGCGACAATCGCAAGCAAGATGCAGCAGAAGCGAGAGGCGGTCATGGTCTCAACGACATGAGGGCGAGAGTGAGAGGTGGCGAAGGCAAAACCGCTTGCGGACTTGGGGGACAGGGTATAGTTCCCAGCTTCCTTGGGTCAGGCATGATTCTTTGTGGAAATAGGTGGATCCGGACATAGGTTTCAAACCACACAAGTTATTCACCTTTGAAAATTTTCCGGGAATGGGCTAGGATCCAGGGGGATTCTCGAGCTGCCAAACAAACCCTTATCTTTTAAATTACAGACCCATATGTATTACTTTAATTTTTTTAAGAAAGAAGACAAAATGCGTTGCTTAAAGAAAATATTATCAAAGTCCAAAACAAACTACTCCATCCATTTCAGGTTATAAGACGTTTTGACTTTGGCCAAAGTTAAACTGCTTTAGGAGTTGTTTAGTTCATTACCACAATTTGCCTCGCATTGACACAACTCAAGTTAGTCAAGTTTAACTAAAGTTAGGTATCTGTTTTTAGTTCGTGCCACACTTATGGCAAGATTCCTTCACCATGATGTGAGTCCCACTTGTCATTGGCACATAAAAGTGTGGTAAGCTTGCTCTTCTATGGTTGAAGTGTGGCTTCAATTTTGTTGGTCACATGTTAGGCATGTTAGCTAAATGAAGTATGGTATGCTTTGGCAATGTGGGTATGCCAACCAAATAACCTCTAAGTTTGACCAAGTTTGTAGAAAAAAGAGTAATATTTTCACCCAAGACAAATTTATTATGAAAATATATTCAATTATTGATTTGATGAAACTAATTTAGTATTATAAATATTACTATATTTGTCTATAAACTTAGTTAAATTTAAAATAGTTTAACTTTGACTAAAGTTGAAACGTCTTGTAACCTGAAACACCTGGAGCTGAGGGAGTATAATGCTGTTGGTACTCAGCTATCCTCCACTCAATTTTAGCAGGTAAAAAATCACATCATCTGGCTAGTTCTCGCTCTAGGACAATTGGTACTCCTCAGAAAAGATCATCAGATACAACAAGATGAGCAGATAGCCAGTGACGAAAAAGGAAACGAATCTAAATCTTCTTTGTATTTTATTGCTCTTAATTTAATTATGCTCATTTCAGGAATGTTTCAAAAGCAATTTAAACCTCCCTTTAAATGGAGTAAATCACGATTCTTCTACAGAGTTCGGCATCCCCACCACTGCAATCAAGCGCCGCACACCTACTGATAACGCCGAGGTCGAGCGGACAATGGCCGCCGCCGCCGCCGCCGCCGCAGTCGCCGCCGCCGCTTCGTCGCAACCGGCGTCCCAGCCCCTCGCCGGCCGCGTGGCCATCGTGACGGGCGCGTCGCGCGGCATCGGGCGCGGCATCGCGGCGCACCTGTCCGCGCTCGGCGCGAGCCTCGTCCTCGGGTACGCGTCCAGCTCCGCCGAGGCCGACGCGCTCGCCGCGGAGCTCCCCCGCGCCGTGGCCGTCAAGGCCGACGTGTCCGACGAGACGGGCGTCCGCGCCCTCTTCGACGCCGCCGAGTCGGCCTTCGGCGCCGGGGCGCACATCCTCGTGGCGAACGCCGGCTTGCTCGACGACAGGTACCCGCACCTGTCGAACACCCCCACCGCCGACTTCGACCGCACCATCGCCGTCAACCTGCGCGGCGCGTTCCTCTGCCTCCGCGAGGCGGCGAACCGCCTCCCCCGCGGCGGCCGCATCGTGGCCATCACCTCGTCGGTGGTCGCGTCGCTGCCGCCTGGCTACTCGGCGTACACGGCGTCCAAGGCGGCGGTGGAGGCGATGGTGCGGACCATGGCGAAGGAGCTCAAGGGCACCGGCATCACGGCGAACTGCGTCGCGCCGGGCCCCGTGGCGACGGACATGTTCTTCGCCGGCAAGGACGAGGCGTGGGTGAAGCGCACCGTGGATGCCAACCCGACGGGGCGGCTCGGCGATCCCGGCGACATCGCCGCCATGGTCGGCTTCCTCTGCACCGACGCCGCCGAGTGGACCAACGGCCAGGTCATACGTGTCAACGGCGGCTACGTCTCTTGAGGGTGGTGTCGGTGGCACGAGCGATTTGGCCGCGTGTTCGAATGTTGCAGAGAACTGAATAAATTTGGGGACATTTGGGGAAATTCGATTCGAATCGACTGATCTGTTCATATATACTGCTCTGCTTGAGTCGAAATCTTGAATAACTCTGATGAATGTATAAACAAAATCCTCACAAATTGCAAACGCAAACGCAAACGACTCGTGTCCTAGTATACTACTCCCTCTGTTTTAGATTACAACACATTTTGATTTTGATTAAAGTCTAACTAATTTAAATTTAACTAAATATATATAAATATAGTAATATTTATAATACCAAATTAGTTTTATTAAATCTATAATTGAATATATTTTCATAACAAATTTGTCTTAGGTTGAAAATGTTTTTATTTTTTCTACAAACTTAGTTAAATTTAAAACAATTTGACTTTGACCAAGTCAAAACGTTTTATAACCTAAAATGAAAATGAAGGTAGTATAGTCCAATAAAACAAAATTGCTTATCTTCTCTAATTTATTCAATCCAATCTCTCCAATTTGAATGTATATTAAAGGAAGAGGATTTGATTGATCGATGATTTGCCTTAGTCAGCTAGCTAAGCAATGCCGCCATTGACTCGAATCACCTGGCCGTTGACCCACTCGGCGGCGTCGGTGCAGAGGAAGCCGACCACCGGAGCGATGTCGCCGACCTCGCCGAGCCGCCCCATCGGGTTCCCGGCCTTGAACCTCTCCACCGCCTCCTCGCTCTTGCCGGCGAAGAACAGCTCCGTCGCCACGGGGCCCGGCGCGACGCAGTTCACGGTCACCCGCGACGCCCCGACCTCCTTCGCCATCACCCGCACCATCGCCTCAACGGCGGCCTTCGACGCCGCGTACGCCGCGTACCCGGGCAGCAGCGTAGCCGCCAGCGTCGACGACACGGCCACGATCCGGCCGCCGCCGCCGCGGCGCAGCCGGTTGGCGGCCTCCCGGAGGCACAGGAACGCGCCGCGGGCGTTCACGGCGAACGCGGCGTCGAAGTCGGCGGCGGACGTGTCGGCCAGCCTCGGGTACGTGCTGACGGCGAGGCCCGCGCAGGCCACGAGGATGTGCGCGGCGCCGCCGCCGAACGCGGCCTCGGCGGCGTCGAAAAGGGACCTCGCGCCGGCCTCGTCGGAGACGTCGGCCTTCACGGCCACCGCGCTCGGGAGCTCGGCGGCGAGCGCCTCGGCTGGCCCGGAGCTGGAGGCGTAGCCGACGACGACGCTGGCGCCGAGCGAGGCCAGGTGGATGGCGATGGCGCGGCCGATGCCGCGCGACGCGCCGGTGACGATGGCCACGCGGCCGGAGAGTGGCAGCGCCGCCGCCTGCGCCTGCGCCGGAGCGGAGTTCGTGGCCATGGAGATTGTGCTTTGCTGATCAATGAAGCGAGTACTCTCATAGTCTCTCATCGCGTGGATTTAAATAGGACACGAGAGCAGCTGGGAAGCGTCATGAGTGACGCTTTGGCGCCAATTTCTATATATTTTTTCCCCTTTGACCTTTGATCATGGAGTCATGGTTGATACCGTAGTCAAATTATGTTGTCACGAAAAGACTGAATTTTTTTAAGAAGCATTTTAATTGGATTAAAATTGTCGGTGATACATTGGGTGCATTCTTTTCTCTCTCTTTTTTTTAACTTCTACCACCTATTTTTCATGCGTACATTTTTCTAAATGGTGCACTTTTTTAAAACAATCTATATAAAAATATTTTTTAAAAATATATTAATACATTTGTAAGTTATTTAGCTATTATTAATTAATTAAATGTTAATCTGCCATTTAGTTTTGCGTGGCAGGGGAGGCGTTTCTAACCGTTCCATTCCAAAGGATCATACACTACTAGAAAACTAATTTTCGTAGGCGGCCAAAACCAATTTTCACAGGCGGGAGAGAGGTACGACTGCACCACAACAGGGCAATGGCCCGCTTGTGAAAATGAAAGAAACGGAAAAAAAATCGCTGGCCCATGGCAGGAGCCGCCGCCGCCCCACGCCGGAGCCGTCGTCATCGCACCCCCGCACCCCGCCGGCCACTTTCCTCGCCGCCGCCACCCTCCCTCGGCCTCCCTCCGGCCGGATCTGGGAGGGGAGGGGAGGGCCGCCGCCGCCGCCGCACCGGAACCGTTGTCGTCGCCGCCCCGCGCCCCGCCGACCACATTCCTCGCTGCCGCTGCCGCTGCCGCCCGGAGCCGTCGTCGTCGCCGTCCACGCCGCCGCCACCACCGTGCGTTGTCGCCGCCGCCGCCGCCGCCCTCCCCCAGCCTCCCTCCGGCCAGATCTGGGAGGGGAGCCGCCGCCGCTGCCGCCCGGAGCCGTCATCGTCGCCGCACCGCGCCCCGCCGACCACATGCCTCGCCGCCGCCGCCCTCCCCCGGCCTCCCTCCGGCTAGATCTGGGAGGGGAGGGGAGCCGCTGCCGCTACCGCTCGGAGCCGTCATCATCGCCGTCCACGCCGCCGCCGCCGCCGCCGCGCGTCGTCGTCGCTGCCACCGCCGCCCTCCCCCAGCCTCCCTCCGACCAGATCTGGGAGGGGAGGGGAGGGGACGGCCCGGCCCGGCTGGTGGGGAGAAGTGCCGTTGAGGAAGAGAGAGAGAGAGAGAGAGAGAGTTGAGAGAGGGAAATGAGTGGTGGGGAGGGGGTGGAGGAGAAGATAAGGAGTTAGATTTATTTTTGCAGGTGGACCATATAAGCGGTTTTCGCAGGCGCCGCTTATGTGGTCCGTCTGCAAAAATAGATTTTCGTAGACATATAGCCAACTTCACTCCGATTTATATTTTTGTAGGCGGTCATTTGGCTACAAGGGTCATATCCGCCTGCGAAAAAAGGACCCCCACGTCGGGAAAAATTCATTTTCTAGTAGTGATATTCCATGGAAGGGGGAAGAAGTAACAATATTTGAACGAAAAGAATAACAAAAAGATATTTTCAGACTTTCCATGGTCACATCACTCAAGCTCGTAGTCTCAAACACCTGTCACCTTCCTCCTCATTGTAAAGGTGCCAAAACCATCTGGTAATGGATTCATGGTTGGTCATTTTGTTTGGCAACATCTACAGTAAATAGAACTAGAAAATAACTAAAATAATACATTTGACAGGGAAATAGATCAAATCTACTCCCAATGTCAAATAAATTTGACAGGGAATAATATCATACACCTAATAACTCTTTCCTCTCGCTATCACATGTCATCCACTCCCTCTTGAATGACACCGAAATTGCCTTAATTACTATAGTTTATCATTTGGTATTTGACCACACCACTGCACCTACAATTTAAAACTAGAAAATTGCTCAAAGAATTGAATTTTGGTAGTGCGTGAGTGCGTTGTAGGGGTGCATTAGAGGACTGGACGTCTTCCGTATAATTGAAAATAAATATAGCATATGCCTAGTTGGGCCAAGATGCACGGAGTTATTCACCTGGCCTGGCCTATTAATTTTACAATGTTTAACCTGGCCTATTATTTCATACGAAAAGTCAAAAATAGTATTCCTCTACCATACAATATGAAGAAGAAAATTAATATGTTTGAGTCGCTCGAAATTCTCGCATGATCCGCACCAAGATTTGTGCCTCGGATGTCTTCTCCATCAATGATGTCTTCTCCGACAATAGCACGGCGGTGGCTGCAACAATGACACTAGGTTAGGGTTTAAGTGGGGTTGGAAGAGAGCAAAGAAGGGGATTTCTCTCCGCAAAGAGGCATGGTCGTGGAGGTGGCGGATCGACAGTATGGCAAGGTGATCAAGTGAAACATTGCTTGAGCCCTTATCAAGGAAGCTAGGTGATGGGTGGGGTTGGTACTTGGTAGCAGGAGTGTGGGATCCAAATGGTTAGGACTTAGGAGATGAGATGTTTCGACGGCATGAGCCAACATTAGATGTAGAAGAACAACGAGATATTTTTATGTGTTTGAAAATAAAAAAAAAACCCTGAATGTCTAAATTAAACAAGTACCAAATTTTTTGGCTACCGACATGTCTATTATAAAAAAAAATGTCTGAACTAAACCAAGTACCAATTTTTTTGGCTACCGATACACGTGTTAGAAAAGTTAGAAAAAAGAACAGGTTTATCCGTAATTATAACAACAATATTATCTCTGTCCTATAATAATTATATTTCTAGGATTTAAATTTGTTCCGAATTAATTGTCACAATAAAATACTAATGGTTCCATTAATCACTTCTCATTCAAATTTCTCCATATTTTATCATCGACTACCTCTCACTATTACCTATACACCATTTAATAATGAGCACTATAGTCTTTATTCTCAAATCTAAATATATGTTAAATAATTTAACATTATAATTATTTTGGGAAGGAGGTATAATGGCGGACGCAACTTTAAAATATAGATGTGGCGGAGAATGGAGATATTCGCTCGATAAGAGCAATCGAACACAACACATATCGTATTTATAGTTCAATCGTATAACTGCATCGATCATTGTTGTGGCGTGCAAGTGTTGTGAATAGATGGACTAATCTGTTGGACGTTCAGACCTTATTATACCTAATTTTAATGGTCCATGACTACTATAAGAGAGTAGGGGGGTCTTGTAATTGTGGGACAACACGAATTGTAACTGGGTCGGTCCACCCTTCCTATGTAATGGGTAGATCCGCCCATGGGAGGTACTCCTACATCATCCAGTGCAGTGGCACGGAGGAGACAGTCCGTCCGGTGGGAAACTGTTTTAAACACTCGGGTGGACATCCACCCGTTTCTTGCATGTCATCTAAACGGTTATGAAAAATTTTCAAAAAAATTGATATGATAGGTTAATATGTAATATATCATCTTACAAACATGCAAGGTCAAATTCGACTTCTACAAGTTGTAACAAAAATAACAAATTCAAATTTGTTATTTTTGTTACAACTTGTAGAAGTCGAATTTGAACTTGCATGTTTGTGAAATGATATATTACATATTAACCTATCTTATAATTTTTTTTAAATTTTTTTCTTAATCATTTAGGTGGCATGCAAGAAACGGACCACCCGAGAGATTACAATCCATCTCCCCCGTCCGGTGCCTAGCCAGCTGAGTATATAGTGAGTACGTCTTCTCCCGCGTCGTTGGTCGTATCCCACCTGATCAAGACGGATCGGACGACACCGACTTTGACACGCGTCACACGAGTCCAACTCGATCACAAGTCAAACTCGCATGCTGGCCTCTAGCTATATACATGTAGCGTGCCAAGCCGTACGTCCACACGATCGATCGGGTCAGGTTCTCAGCTCATCTTGGGATACATACACGGGCGCAACGAAACGGTAACCTCGGCGATCACCGGCGGCGAGATTCTCCGGCGGTCGCCGTGTTGAGATGTGCATGACGCTGATCATGCCGGGGGCGCCGGACGTCGGCAGTTACTACGGCGAGCAGTGGGCGCCGCTGGCGATGTCGTCGCTGTCGTCGCTGTTCTCCTACTCACCGCCGGGGACGGCCAAGTACGCGGCGGCGCTGGCGTCGCCGTCGCAGCAGGTGTCCACGACGATGCCGGAGCTGGAGACGGAGGGGGAGCTGAAGACCCTGCCGGCGCCGATGACAATCGAGACGACGGCGGCGGCGGCGGCGGCGGCTCGGTCGCCGGAGATCGTCAAGGTGCGGTCGGTGTGGGCGCACAACCTCGACGAGGAGGCCAACCTGATCGAGTCGCTGTTCCCGAGCTTCCGGCTCGCCGCCGTCGACACCGAGTTCCCCGGCACGGTGCACCGGCCGTCGGCGCCGGCGTACACGCTGACGCGCAAGCAGAAGTACGCGCTCCTCAAGAAGAACGTCGACGAGCTCCACCTAGTCCAGCTCGGCCTGACGCTGTTCGACGCCGGCGGCCGGCTGCCGGACCTCGGCACCGGCGGCGCCGCGCGCTACGTGTGGGAGTTCAACTTCCGGGAGTTCGACCTCCGGCGACACGCGCACGCGCCGGAGTCGATCGCGCTGCTGCGTTCCAAGGGCGTCGACTTCGACCGGACGCGGCGGGGCGGCGTCGACGCGGCGGCGTTCGGCCCGCGGCTGCGCAGGTGGCTGCGCGCCGGCCTCGGCCGCGCCGGGCTCGTCACGTTCAGCGGCGCCTACGACCTCGCCTACATGCTCAAGATGCTCTACGGCGGCGGCGGCGGCGGCTACCGGCTGCCCGGCGACGCGGCGACGTTCGAGTTCGTGGTGAGGGCGGTGATAGGGAGGACGCTGTACGACGTGGGCAAGATGGCGCGGCACTGCCCCGGCGACATGCGCGGCGGGCTGGAGCGCGTCGCCGGGAAGCTCGGCGTGCGGCGCGCCGTCGGCGAGGCGCACCAGGCCGGCTCTGACAGCCTGCTGACGTCGCAGATGTTCATGCGGATGAGGGAACGCTACTTCGACGACCAAGACGCGCTCACGGCCGTCGCCGGCATTAATTTTGGATATTTAAACTTTACCTCCTGTGAATATACTTAGGTCTTTGCTATGAATTTGGGATGAAACTTTTGATCTTATACTACTATGAATTGACTTGAGAAAAAAAAAAGAAAGTTGAGAGCCGCATTGGACAGTAAACGGCCGTATTCATAATCTTTTATAAACGGAGTACCATATAGTACCATATAGTCTCTCAAGATCAAATGTTAAATTAAGTCGAATATGTGGAAAACACGGTGAAAAGGGCAGAGAAATTAGGACTTCGTTGAATTGGGGGTAAAATTTGAAAAATATGAAAATACCGTATAAACGTATCTAATTTATCAGATTCACTCTGGGCACCGGTAAAATATAAAAATTAGTTCAAGCTCTTGACTTCTCCATACAACTTCCTCTACCTTGCACATCTTCTCACTAAAAAAATAAAGGGATTTGCTACATTTTAGTTGCTTGAAAACTTAAAGAAAAATCAGTCGATTTTACTGGCTATGGGATAAAGTCAAAAATCGGTGATCCTACATCCCATCCTCGTTGGGATAAAGTAAAAAAACGGAAATCGGTGATCGGTCGTCCTCGTTGGCAACAGCTTCTTCTCTAAGGGCATCAGCAATACTTATTCCCAAACCAAACAATAAAGATGAGCACGTTATAAGGTAAAACAACTCGTAGAAAGACCTCACAGTGTGTGTATGCAAGACAGGAGGAAATAAGATGGGACCCACCTTCATTCAGCCTACTACAAGCCTAGGTGTGACTAAAAAGTGAGGTGGGATTCACAATGTTATCTTACTACCATCAATAATGTTGTGACCTGGTAGTAACTATTTACTACTCTCACAGTGTTTATTACTCCTACATGATAACAAGCATCTATTTAATGCTTACTACATGCTCTATAGCAAGTTGAACTAGGGCTTAGGGTAGGTGTCTGAGTTAAGGTAAAGAGGAAGAAGGGATAACCATAGAGGTGACATAACAACGGTGGGTTTTAAGGCAACGACAACACTATTGGAGCCATGGGGTTGGAGAAAGGTGACAATACTGTTGGAGCCATGAGGTTAGAGAAAGGTGGTGGGAGGGATTGACGGCAAGGATATGGGATGGGATGGGAACGGGGAAAGGAGAAAGATAGAAAAGAAAAAGGTTTTTATTTATTATAAATGTGATGTCATCTGAATCATCTAATGTTGTAATTTTCAAGTAACTGACCCTTTAGCTTCAAATATAAATGGCATAGCAATTAGCATACCGGTGACCTCCGTAATTTGCTTCAATTTGCACAATTATAATTGTTAAACTTTTGAGGAGGATGTGAACGGAGGATGTATTGATGCCAGGACGTTTCTAGTGATATAACATTAAAAAATGGAGGTAGTATATCGGAGCCATCGTTTCGCTTATTCGCGGAATAAGCGAAAGGGCATATTTGCAAACGAAAAATAATTTGTAAATAAAATTTTTATATAGCTGTTCTTAGCGATCTAAAATCGAAGGTTGAAAAATAAACTTCGATGAAAAAACCTCAAAATCAGCTCCAATTTAAGATTGAAAATTCAAATTTTGACTGATAAATATATATAAGTATAAGCGAAAAGATGAGGCCCATAAATGTTTGCAGCACTTTTATCATCTTACTTGCATGCGTGGTGGAGAGTAGTAAATTTTAAACTCTTGAGGAGGCGTCTCCTCATTGTTTGAATGCCACTTAAATAGTTATGAAAAAAAATGAGAAGATGTATTAACATGCAATATATCACTTCACAAATATGCAAATTAAAATAGAATTTCTATATGTCAGAACGCAAAAATAAATTTGACAGTGAATATAAAAATAATGTATTAACATGTTTTTTTTTCAATTGGCAGCGATAGTGATGAGTCTATTCTTCCCACAACCACCTTTCAATTTGGTGTGATATTCCGTAGATTGAACCATACATACCTTTCAATTTGTGATAGATTACCACGTTACATTTTTTCTCGAACAATACGAAAGAGATTGCAATATATATACAATTTAAACCTTTTTCAAATTCACTGACATGTTCCCTTATTTAAAACATGCATGTTGCAATGCACGCTATATATATCTTAAAAACAAATAAACACGAAAATGGCGATCGATCGAGTAGAAACTCTGGTTTATTCGTCCATCAACTCTTGAATCTTGATGACCTGATCTTCTCATCCCATCTGTCTAGTACTTGTCGAGGCTTTCATAGCCATTCCTTTGCTTGATCCAGGCGACGAAGGCGTCCATGGTGTTGGTGTCCGACCGGTAGTGCCTCTGCGTGAACTCGAGGAACTCGCGCCACGTGAAGTCCGGGAACGCGCGCGGGTGCGCGGCGTCGACGAGCGCCGGCGGCGGCGACACGACGCGGTCGAGGCGCGGGTTGAGGAAGAAGGTGAGCGACCTGCGCGCGACGCGGCCGTTCACCACGGCGCGGTGGAGGCAGCTGGCGTGGCGCCCGTTGGTGAGCGCCGCGAACGTGTCGCCGATGTTGACGACGAACGCGTCGGCGCGCGGGCGCACGGCGCGCCACCCGCCCGCCGCCGCCGCGGCGTCGTCGGGGAGCACCTGCAGGCCGCCGACGTCGTCCTGGTGGAGCAGCGTCAGCGACGTCGGGTCGCGGTGCGGGCCCGTGCCCAGCGTCAGGTGCGGCTGCCGGCACGGCGGGTAGTGGTTCAGCCGCATCACCGGGTCGCCGTCGGCGAAGAAGCCGCGGAGCTCGCCGCGGCCGAGCCCGAGCGCCACCGCGAGCACCTCCGTCACGTCCAGCGCCAGCCGCGTCATCACGTCGCAGTACTCCTGGTACACCTCCCTGCATGTAAACACAACACGTCCATACATGTGTGTACACTAATCTTAATTTAATTTGGAAGTTTTTTGTTTGAGCAAATGCTAACTGAGTTTGTCGATGTGTTAATTAAGGTTTGAACAAAATGTTAGTTCAGGATAGAATATTGATAATAGACAAATTTATACATGCATGCCTCCGGTGTCAATAATTGTGCCACGCACGTACTATTGCCTCGTGTGGTGCACTTTCTGCTACCACATTCAAAATGCCAAATGTGTGGCTGTTGTTGGTTAATTATAAGCGTGGCACAGTTTGGCTAAAAAATAAGTTGATGACATGTTTGCTAATATGTTTAATAAAGTGTAGCTTATCTCAATTAAAACGCTCAATCAAACAGTTGCTTAATAAAGTGTGGCGCGTCTAACATTTAGCATGGCAGTATGTGGCAGCAAACAAAACTACCCAACTTTAATTTATTTTATTTATACGTAGTGACAAATCAGAAATAAAATAAGGACCCCTGATCTAATTATTGAATAATATAATAATTAATATGACTAAAACAGTGATAAGCTACCCTGTTATACCATGTGGATTACTGAACCTGGCTTTCTTATACTGCAAAATAGTTCCTTTTTATTTTTATTTGACATTGTTGACCAGTGTTAATCTTTGATCAAAATAAACTTTTAAGTAAAATGTTTCGATGAATGTAAGCAGTATTGTTTGTATTTAGCATGTAAAATACTTTAATAATATAATCTCTTTTAAATATTTATTTAAAAAAAGAGTGGTCAAAGTTGCAAAGTACTACCTCCGTCAAATGGGGGATTGCTGTGATGGGTTGAAAAATGAATGTATGTAGGGAGAATTAAATGGTGTAGCGTTGTAATTAGTTGGGAAAAAAATGCTAGTGAAAAGGTTGTTATATTATGAGATAAATTTTAAATGTTAGAAGTCATTATATTTTGTAATGGAGGGAGTAAAAAGGACAAGAATGTAATCAAATCGAAAGATCTATTATATTTTTTAAGAAGGCCTCGTGTGGAACGTGAGGTTTTAATTCTAGATAATCCAACCTGAATTGAACTTGTGTATCATACGAAATTCCTTGAAAATTGTATGAAAAATCAATGTGTTCAAGAAATCATACGAAATCTCTCTTTCAAGATTAAAATGAAATAAGTAGAACTCGGAGCCAGGTGTGTGTGTATACTTACCCCATGTGGCGGTATTCCTCGCCGAGGGCGTCGACGAAATAGTCGGCGACCATGCGCGCGTTCCCCGGCGCGGCGGAGCAGTTGAACGACATGGTCTCCTTCCACGGCAGCTTGCAGTCGAACCGCCCCGTGAAGCTGCTCGCGTAGCCGTGGTTCTCGCCGGGGCGGCGCCGCGCGCGCTGCTTCTCGGCGAGCGGCCGCGCGTAGAACGCGTCACAGCAGCGGTACGCCTCGGCGAGCAGCGCCGGGTCGACGCCGTGGTTCACCACCTGGAAGAACCCGTGCCGCTCGCACGCCTCCGCCACGTCGCGCCCAATGCCGCCGCTGGCGAGGAACGCGGCCAGGTCGACGACGGGGATGGCGATCTCCTCCACCACGCCGTCGTCCGCCGCCGGCGCCTCGTCGGCCGGCCAGACGAACTGCGCCGGGATCGCCTCCTGCTTGCTCAGGATCGCCGCGTCGAACACCACGGCTGCCATGGCTGATCAATCGATATCGTCGATCTGCTCACTTCTCTTCTCCCGCTTTAAATAGCGAACGGATCGAGATGCCGCAAAAGGCTATTGGCTTTCATGACTAAGCCACATCGAGCACAAATTCAGGGATAAGATGGCTCGATTTGGACATGGTTAATCTCGTCACTAGTTGTCCCTAATAATGGATTACTGGATAAACATCACATCACCCCCCTGTACATTCCATGCAAAAAAAAATGCAACGTGTGTGTTAATTAGCTGTTTATAATATCAATGCATGCATCTTAGGCTACCCCTATTCTCCTGGAACATTTCTGTGAACTGATTAATTATTAGTGGTGGTTTGTTATGGCCGGCCATGAGTGCCGGAGACGTGCATGGCCAGATGTGCCTAGGTTGATGGAATACTTTCTGCATGAGTGGCATGCAGATCTCATCCGGTTCGTCACCCGGATCCACAATGACGGCAAGCGGCATCTATTCTGTTATGCCAATTGCCAAATGTTGTTGATTATCGCAGCCTGAAGCCCTGAACTTGATGAAGGCCAAATTGTTGGTCCATTCATTCAGAGTTTCAGTCACACAAAATTCGTTTTGAGCACAGGTTGTAGGCAGGTTGTAGTCACACAAAATTTGTTGGTTTTCACGAAAACCGTTTGAAAAACCGGTGAAATTCTGAGAAATTTGGTCCGAAAGTTTGAAATTCAATCTGATTCTTTTTCTTTAAAAAAAATGGCCGGTCAACATGAGCGGTTGAGTCAGAGGAAGTGACCGAATCGTCCGTTTTCTGAACTTTGCTTATAGCCAATTTGCATCAAATCCATTTGAACATTTTATTTAGATTTATAGATTTTTAAAGGTTCTTGAGGGTGTTACAGGTACAGTTACATCGATGTACATATAATCAGTACATCAACAACATATATAATTGCTGATGAAACACTTATCGGTTGCTAATAATCAGCTTCATCTTCGTAAATTACTGTAACAGATACACATATTCCCCCATGGCGGCCGCTGTCAGGATCAGATTTTGAAGGCCTTCTCGACGCTGTCGCGGCGCGCGCCGACGGTCTTGTAGATGCGCATGAACTCGCGGAACGTGACGGTGCGATACTGCGGCTGGCCGCCGTCTCCGACGAGCTCCTTCGCCGGTCCGACGAGGCAGTCCATCGGCGGCATCATGAACGTCGCCACCGACGTCCTCGCCACCGCCGAGTTCGTCATCGCCCTGTGCTCGATGCTCTTCAGCACTCCGTTCGTCGCAATCTGAATCGAACACAGCATATAAATTTAGAGGGTGTTCAGATCAGGGTGTAAAGTTTTGCCGGGTCATATCAGATATTATATAGTGTGTGGTATGAAGTATTCGGGCACTAATAAAAAAAACTAATTATAGAATCCGTCAGTAAACCGCGAGACAAATTTATTAAGCCTAATTAATCCGTCATTATGAAATGTTTACTGTACCACCACATTGTTAAATCATGGAGCAATTAGGGTTAAAAAATTCATCTCATAAATTAGTCCTAATATGTGCAATTAGTTATTTTTTAGTCTAGGTGTTCAAACGTTTGATATGATACGGTGTAAAATTTTTGTGTGAGAACTAAACGGGGCCTCATATAAATCGATCAAATTCAAGATCAGATCAAGATCGTCTCGCGCGCCGGTGATGGGGATGATTCTGACCTCGAGGAGGTGGCCAAAGTTGACGACGAAGGCGTCGGGGACGGGGTCGACGTTGATCCAGTCGCCATTGTAGGAGACCTGGAGGCCGAAGACGTCGCCCTGGAGGAGCAGGGTGATGAGGTTGCGGTCGCAGTGCGGCGGCAAGCCCAGCGTCAGGCTCGGATCCGGGCATGGAGGGTAGTGGTTGACGTTGATGATGACATCGCCGGCGGTGAGGTCGCGCTCGAAGTAGTCCGGCCTGAGCCCCATCCCCTCGCACAGCAGCCGCAGCAGCTCGATCCCCAATCCCCTCGTCGCCACGAAGAACTTCTCCGTGACATCCCTTGCAACGCAATTAGGATCAAATTAAATCCAATCAGCAACTGATTTGGGAGTGATTTGATGCTGCTGGTTGAGGATTTTTTTTTTTGTTTTTGGTTCACCGGAGATGGTGGGGCTTGTCGGGCCAGTGGGTGTTGGTGTCGTCGGCGACGGGGAAGCCGCAGGCGAGGCGGAGGCAGTCGCGCCAGTAGCGCTGGTCGCCGACCTCGTAGATGGTGCTGGAGAAGAGGCGGTTGGGGTTCTCCTCCGCGTCGGAGTAGAACGCCGCCTTGTCCTCCGCCGGCAGCCGGAAGAACTCCTCGCACACCGCCGCCATCTCCCGCATCGTCTCCGGCGGCACGCCGTGGTTCACCACCTTGCACGCACGGCACCGCCATGTCAAGCGATTGAGAGAGAAGCTGTGTGTATACCTACAGGCTTGGGGATTCTGTTGTTTTCTGACCTGGAAGAAGCCGAGCTCCTTGCCGGCGTCGAGGACGGCGCGGCGGACGGCGTCGCGGGGGCCGGAGAGGTCGATGACGGGGAGCGACACGGCCGCGGTGGAGGCCGGTGGGCGCCGGTCGGCCGGGAACACGAAGCAGTCCGGGAGCTGGCCCTGCGACGCCACGGCGGCGGCGGCGCCGGAGGAGGAAAGCAACTTCTCCATCGCCGACGACGAGATCGATCAACCAGATCAGAGCAAAGCAATCGAGCTAAGCAAGCGAGTGAGAAAACGAAACCCGCACACGCTCGAATTTATAAAAGCAGAAAACTCTCCCTCGATCACTCCAGCTTGTCGGCTTGTCGGTTTCTTGGCTCACTCGAACGCTGACGTGGCACACGCCGTGCAAAACGACACCGATTCGGCGGTGACCAGTGGGCCCCACATTTGCAGGGCCGGTCGGACTTTTCCCCATCTGGTCAACGGCCCATCTTAGAGCTTCACGGGCCAACCTGATTCGTGCTCGGAATTCGCTCATGTGACAGCAAGTGGGCCCCGCAGATAGCTATCCGATTCGGACACTAGCGTCGCTGCTTCGAATTCGAGTTCATTGCCGGGGAAATGGGGAAATTTCATGGCTTTGGCTGCGATAAAAGGCGAGCCGATGAGAGCACAATGCAAAGAACGAGAATTCAGCGGGTGTTGAGCAACTTTCACGGCGATTCATCGGCAAGAACGCGAGGGTTTTAACGATTGGGCTTGACTGATCCAGCGAGGGAGGAAGTAATGGCGCCGGGGAACGAGATGCAGGCGAGGAACGGCGGCGGCGCGGCGATGTGCGCCGCCGGCTGTGGATTCTTCGGCAGCGCGGCCACCGACGGGCTCTGCTCCAAGTGCTACAAGCAGCAGCAGCCACAGCCGCGACATCTCATCGGCACCGCTGCCGGGGACAGTGACAAAACATCGCTGAAGGTCGTCGCCGACCTATCAACGCTCGTGATCAAGGACAACTCCGGCGTCGGAGGCGAGGGGACGACGGTGATGGCGCCGCCGGCGACGGTGACGAAGGCGAAGAACCGGTGCAAGGCGTGCCGGAAGAAGGTGGGTCTGCTGGGCTTCCCGTGCCGGTGCGGCGGCATGTTCTGCGGCGCGCACGCGTGCGCGTTCGACTACAAGGCGGCCGGCCGCGAAGCCATTGCGCGCCATAACCCGCTCGTCGTCGCGCCCAAGATCAACAAGATTTGAAGGCTTCGTGGCGAACTCAGATGCCACCACGTGTCAAAAAGTTGTATTGTACACGTGTCAAAAAAATGTTGCCCTTTTTGTGTGACATCAGAAATGAGTAGTTCCTGATAGAACTTGTAGCTGATAGTGGTGCAATCCAGCCAATCGACGAATGTTGAGCAATCGTCAACAATGTATTTTTGTGCTTCCGTAGGTACAGGGCCGGTCCTACGATTTTGAGGGCTCAAGACGAACTCATCACGATGGGCTCTCTGTGCTATATATATATATATATATATATATATATATAATTTTATGATATATATAGATGCTAATTTTACTTGCAAAACGAAAACAAATACATCCATATATTAAATTTAACATGTCGAGTAATTATCGAGAAATAAAGTCGACCAAAATAACAATATATTTGTACATTGAAACTGTGCGCATGTGCGGCTATGCACTGTGCGATGCGATGCCTTCCGTCGAGTTGCCGACAACGCTGCAACTCCTCTCATCTCCCTCTCATCTCTCGGGCGTTTCTGCTTCCAGGTAGACCATAGGCAGATATTAGACTACTCGTATTAGGTGTTGACCACCCACTATCAAGGGCCCCCGGCGATCGCCTCGGCTGCATAGTGTGGACCCCCGTTTTTATAACAGGAATCAATCGTGTAAACAGTACTATTTCCCTGGATCAAGTAGTCTGGTACACACGAATTCATAGCTGAAATACCAAGTGCACATACACGAGAGTCTAATACGAATTATTACATCATAAGCCCGCAGGCGCAGTCTTAAATCATCGGACCGAGCGGTCCAGGATACATTCCAAAAACAGAAGTAGGTAAGGCAGCGGAATTAAGGCAGCGGCACGCCATTGCCACAGGCAACGACCGTAACTAAGACCTACTGGGCGCCATCGTCTTCATCACCCTCCTGGTAATAGGCATAGAGATCCTCCGAAGCTTCATCTCCAGCCTCTAATTAAGTTTATATTTGCAAGGGTGAGTACCAACCGTACTCAGCAAGCCACCACAGCAACAATGCATATGACAGGGATATTCAAAAGATGGCTATGGTTCTTTTGCGCAAAGCAAGTTTTGTAATTCTTTTCACAAACCTAAGACCTAGCATAGACTGATCAAATTTTAGTACCAGAGTTCATATTAAACAACGACGGTTCTGTCCACCATCCATTGTAATCCCAAGGATAGCTTCCCGCCATTGAGTCGTCATGGTTTTCTGAGGACGTCCACCTTCCCGCCTCTCAGAAAGTGGCTCCATCAGCATAGAAATCATCATGCATCATCCCATCCCACACAAGTTAAGAATTTAGAGTCTAGCCAAGTGTAACACATGTCCCGGTGCTCAATAACCGCGAGCACGGCTATTCGAATAGATTTGGTTTACTCACACTGCAGTGGATGTACACTTTACCCGCACTCTGCGACTGCCCAACACATGAGCCTCGTCCCAACACATGAGACGCGTCACGGCAAAGCTTTTCGATAACCTCGCATTGGCAGTACCCGCTCCATGAACTTAAATCCTCATGCACTCTAGGCATCCATGTTTCTAGCAGTGAGAGGAGTTCTGGCGCTCCCGGGAAAGAGAAGTCTCACACACATATTAAATTATGGTTCAAGTTAAGTTCTCTCTCTCACACACTCATGGCAGTCCTACCGATGATGACACCGATGTAGGGCACGCCTCTCAGCCCTACCTCAACGGCTGTCCCACCGTAGCGCACCTGCCTCACTCAGGGGTGAACCATCTATGCAGGGATACTGCCTCCGCTCGGCTATCTAATCCGCTAGGTCTATACCCATACGAGAAGTACGGTTGTACGGGGGTCGTTTCATGCTTAACTTCATGGCTCGGTCCTTAATTGACCGGGGACGGTACTAGCCTTTTTCAGATACCACCCAAATCCTCCGTCCGCCCCAGTCGAAAACAGTTGTTTAATTTTATTTCTCATTTCACAAATCATATCATCAACATCATGGCAATGTGGCGCTCATGTCTCCACATGCCGCATCTCAATTACCTTCCCAAAGGTAATTGCCCAAGCATATAGCATTTGATAAATATGAGTATGCATAAATCTAGAGTAGCATTTCTAAGCATTTGTCATAGTTGACTAGAGACTTATACGTAAATCATGGTTACAAGGATTTAAGGGTAAACAATAATCAAGGCATGGCATAATCACAAGTAGGATGTTCATCATTGCATGCAATTTTTATTTGTAAATAAAACTAATTTCGCAATTGGGATCAACATGTTCAAAGAATAGTGATGACTTGCCTTGCTCAAAGTCTTGCGGGTCTTGGCCTTCACTTGGATCCGCCACTCCCTCGGGCTCTATAGTTAGGTGCGAAAATTGATTTGAATTCGGTTAGAATTCAAATAAAAATCCAAATAAATCCAAATGAAAGTCAAATGCGAAAGTCGATTTCTTTATATTAACTTTACTATTCGCGAACTAAGGCAAACCCAATTTCGATTCAAACTATTTTGCGGGTATAAATATTTTGTTGTCATAAGTTTTTTTTTAATTTAATCTACCCGAGCATTATATCCATACAATAGGTTAGAAATTTCTATCGCGAGCTAAATATCGGACGAAATCCTAGAAATATTATACGATTTAATTTAGTCTATGACTAAATGATTAAATATAATACACGGGTAAAATCCCTAGTAATTAAATCCGAATTTCTACCGTGAATCGATTACTTATAGGGATTACCCAAAAATAATCTATAATAATCTATAAGAATTCATCTAATTGTTTAGTTATTAATTACATCTAAATTACTACCGCGAATTGATTTCTTATAGAAATTACCAAGAATAATCCATAATTTATATTAAATTTTGCAATTCTACGACTATAATTAATCTATAATTAAATTCTAATTATTTTAAATTTTCTAAACTTCCCTAATCTCCCTATAATTTCCTATTTATTTCCCTTTTCTTTTTTCTCCCTTTCTTTTTCTTTTTCCTTCCTTTCTTTTTCTTTTCTTTTTCCCCATTTTTTTTCTCTCCCGGCTCCTTTCTTCCTTCCTCTCTTCTTTTCTCTCTCTCCCTCTCGGCTTCTTCCTCCCTCCCTCTCTCTCTCGGCTTTTCGCCCTCCCTACGGCCACGGCGGTGGACGCGAGGGGGAAAAGGCGGCGGCTTACCGACAGTGACGGTCAGCGGCGACGACGGCGACGGCGGCGCAAGGCGGCGACGCACGGCGCGGCGGCTTCGAAGGTGGCGGCGCGGTGGCACGACGACGGCGGCGCGTGGAGAAGGGGAAGAGGGAGAGGAGGAGGGAATGGAGTGGGTGGAGAAGGGGGAATGGGCCGGGGTTTTTATAGGGGATAGGGGAAGAAAGAGAGGGGAAGGAGGGGGAAGGGTGAAACGACGGCGGCGCGGCGGCGCGGGGCGCGAGGCGGCGGGCGCGCGGCGACGGGACGTCGATGGTGACGGCGACAGCGGCGGCGCGCGGCTCGGGGCGGGACGCGATGGGCGGCGACACGACGGCACGGTGCGACAGCGACGATGGGACGGCGCGGCGCGGGCTTGACGGCGACGGGCGACGACGCGGCGACGGGACGGCTGCGCGAGGCTTGAGGCGACGCGGCGACGGGACGGCAGCACGCGCGGCACGGGGGTGGCGACGTCGGCGCGGGTCCGGGGCGGCTCGGCGACGTCGGCGCGGCGGCAGGCGGCGATGGCGACGGGCGGGCGGGCGGCGTGGCGCAGGCGCGTGGGGCGCGAGGCGGCCAGGCGCGACGGGCGGCGGCGCGTGGTGACGGTGGCGACAGAGAGAGGGGAAAGAGGAGGGGGCTGGGTTAGGGGACCACATCGAACACCTACGCCATAATGAACAGTGTATTTTCCTATTTATCCCAATTTTTGTTTATTTCCCATATAAATTTGATTCTATAATTTCTAAATCTTGCATAAATAAAGTTTACTCAATATTTGTGTTATCTCAACTAATGAATTCACCCTAGATTAATATTACTCATATTTTATTTGTATAATTTATTTGAATTTTTAATTAGGATTAATTCTTATCCCATCGCATTTAAATTCAATTGATCCAAATATGGTCGCGATAATATTTTATTTATTTCTATCCACACCTAATCTTTATTTTAAATTATATTTATTTTACCAATTTGTTTTTAGGGTTTATTCCTAATTAACTATTCTTTACTCACGATTAATGAACTTCGAAATCAAATCCAAATAAAATAGGCGAATAAGATCGGCATGATGCAATCAATTTAAAAAGTTTTTGAAAATCCATATTTTTAGAGTTTAGCTTTTTGTCGGTCGAATTTTCAGGATGTTACACATAGCCCCAGGGCCGGCCCTGCGTAGGTGTTGACGATGAAGCTTTCACATAAAAAACTCACCGTACTCGAAGCACGTGGGGCCATGGCTTAGCTTCTAGCCTGCCCTTGGGGCCAAAGGGTTTTTTTTTCACGTGCGCATGTACAGCTTTACTCCATTTCTATTCAATAAAATTAACAGCTTGACGCCTTGACGGTTTGTTAAAAAAAAAACTCACCGTACTTAAGCTTGACCAACTCCACAGTTTCTCGGCTTTGCCACTATTAATTCCAGCCCACCCCATTCAAGTCAAGTCCTTAACAAAACTAAATTTTATCGATGTTTACCATCATCGTTTAAATTTGAGAGTTTCATAAACTACTCGATTCGATTATGTACACAATACATGGCATGCCTAATTCACCTGCAGTACAATTGTACTGAAATTTTTCGGAGTCAGTTATCTTCTCTTATTATTGTGATATGTGATGCCATGTCCATAATGCATATTTTAAAGATGATATATCACATCTTTAAAATCTGAGGCCTCTCAGCTTAATGTTTTATTCCAAACCAAAGCTGGCGTGTGCAAAATGGAATTCACCGCTAACACTTCAGCCTTTCATATCCGTTTCATGCCGTAGTGCTAGTAGGGGGAGATAAATATTTTAGCTGCTTTATATGAAGTAGTAGTCAACACCAAGATCAAATGCTCAAGGATGCGAACAAAAGGAGTTGCTTGAAAGATTTATTGGTTTATCAGTATGGCCCATAATGGGAGGCCTGAATTAGGCATCTCTTAAGTAAGTTCATTGTACATATTTCCAATCAAAAGGTACGTGAAGAAATATTTTGGAACATATGAGTAAGTTATATGTTTAAAATGCGCCAC